TTATGATTTTTTTTTTTTTTTTATACATAAGAGATTTATTTTTATACTTAAAAAGATTTTTCTTACAGATCTAAAAAAAAATATTTATTTAAATTCAATATTATAAAATACGGAGATAGAGACAAATAATTGGTGTTGGACAGCAAAGTCAGACTTTGTGATGAGAAACTGTGAATTTTTTGGCAAAGACAAATACGTCCCCAAAATAAGAAAGTCAGCTCTCTGTTGTCACCATTTTCAAATCAGTCTACCAGTTTCTTTTGTTTTGTCCTTAAATATAAACACGGGATACCCCCCTTTTGTATTTTTCTTGATTGTCAATTGCCACAATCCTAAGTCTTTTACTTTTGTCTATCTAATAAAACTGTTCCGTTGATTTGAAATCTCAATCTTTTTCAGCTAAACAACAATCGTCTCACCCTTTCATTTCAGTACTTATATTAGTACTACTATCTTTTTCTTTATTAGATTCTCTCTCTTTCTTGAAATTAATTTATTAAATTTTCTTGAGTTGAGGTGCCGTGTTTACAGTGGAAAGTGGGACTCTTGCTTCTCTTGCAAGTGATGGGGCGTTGAAAAATCTTACCTTAAAGAAGGTGCTTTCCTCATTTATATCTACTTCTAGTTCTAGGCTTTAAATTTTGTTACTATTTATTTATTTATTTCATTTCTGATCTGGGGTATAGGGTTCTTATTAATTCATATACTAGTACTGAGACTTGCTTTAATTACAAGTAGTTGGTCGGCCTTTTCTTTGAGATTTTTGAGGTGTTTTGGGATGCGCGTTTGAAGTTTCTGCAACTGAGCCTTTCTTCTTCTTTTCACATAACAAGGTGCCCTGCTGTAACGGTTAAGTCATCTTGATTTTTCAGTCTTGGGATCTGGTTTTGATTTGGGTGCTAGGGATCTGGAAAAAGGTCTTTTCTTGGTGCTAAATTGCTTCAGTTGCCAGCGGAGTTACTAGTGCTGCTGTTTTTGGGATATAAGGGTGGAAACTTTCTTCATTTGAAACTGTTTTTAGGTGTGGCGAGCTGTAAAATTTATGATAAATGGTGGTGGGAATCTTGATTTGAACTGTTTATGTATAATTCTTCTATGTATTCAGCAATGAGTTTCCTGAATTGGGTATTCTTGGCTTATCTTTTCTGTACATGTTTGAGTCTTGAAACCCCAGTTCAAAACTGTCATCCAATTGATTTATTGGCATTGAAGGAATTTGCTGGCAACCTAACAGAAGGGTCTATTTTATCAGCTTGGTCTCATGAATCCAGTTGCTGTAAATGGAAAGGGGTTGTCTGTGGAAATGGTTCAGCTCAAAGTAGAGTGATCATGTTAAATTTGTCAAGAAAAGGGTTGAGAGGTGTGATTTCACAGTCCTTGGAAAAATTGGATCAGTTGAAATTGCTCGATCTTTCGCATAATCACCTTGAAGGTGGATTGCCATTGGACCTCTCCAAATTGAAGCAATTGGAAGTTCTTGATTTGAGCCATAATGTGTTAATTGGACCAGTATTGAGGGCATTTACTGGATTGGAATCAATCCAGTCTCTCAATATATCTAGCAATTCGTTTACTGGAAATTTCAGTGAGTTTGGTGAATTCCCTAACCTTGTTGCATTGAATGTAAGCAACAACTCTTTTACTGGTGGTTTCAGGTTTGAAACTTGTTGCTTCAGCAAGAAGATTAGGGTGTTGGATATATCACTCAATCATCTCACTGGTGATCTTGGAAGCTTGGGAAATTGCAGTTCTTCACTCCAACAGCTGCATGTAGATTTCAATAATCTCGGTGGTCACCTTCCGGACTCGTTGTATTCAATGACATCTTTGGAGCAACTTTCACTCTCTGCCAATAATTTCTCTGGCCTGCTAAGCCCACAGCTTAGTAAGCTTTCCAAACTGAAATCCTTAGTTTTATCTGGTAACCACTTTCATGGTTTGCTCCCTAATGTGTTTGGGAATTTGACACAGTTAGAGCAGTTAGCTGCACATTCTAATAGGTTTTCTGGGCCATTGCCGGCTACGCTTTCGCATCTTTCTGTTCTTAGGGTGCTTGATCTTAGGAATAATTCTTTGTCTGGTCCTGTTGATCTTGATTTTACTAGATTGACAAGTCTGTGTACTCTTGACCTTGCAACTAACCGTTTCATAGGTAACCTTCCTGTCTCGCTCTCTAGTTGTCAGGAGTTGAAAATTTTGAGTCTTGCCAAAAACGAATTTACCGGGCAAATTCCTAAGAACTATGCAAACCTTTCATCTCTTGTGTTCCTCTCGTTGTCCAATAATACCCTTTCCAATTTATCTGGAGCTCTGTCTGTTCTGCAGCACTGCAGAAATCTTTCAACTCTTATTCTCACCAGGAACTTCCGTGGCGAAGAGATTCCCAAAAATGTGAGCGGGTTTGAAAACCTGATGATATTTGCATTGGGGAACTGCGGTTTGGATGGGCAAATTCCGACGTGGTTATACAATTGCAGTAAATTGCAAGTGCTTGACTTGTCGTGGAATGATTTGGATGGCAATATTCCTCCTTGGATTGGCGAAATGGAAAATTTGTTTTACTTGGATTTCTCAAACAATTCACTCACAGGTGAAATCCCGAAAAGTTTAACTGGTCTAAAGAGCCTCATTTCCCCTCACAGCTATGCTTCTAGTCTGAATTCTCCGACTGGTATTCCTTTGTTTGTCAAGAGGAATCAGAGCGGTAGCGGTCTGCAGTACAATCAGGCGTCAAGCTTCCCTCCGTCTATCTATTTGAGTAATAACAGACTAAACGGGACAATCTGGCCTGAAATTGGTCATCTGAAACAACTTCACGTCTTGGATCTTAGTAGGAACAACATTACCGGGACTATACCTAGCTCAATTTCAGATATGGCGAACCTTGAAGTTTTGGACCTTTCCTCTAATGATCTCCATGGATCAATTCCTTCTTCCTTCAACAAGCTCACGTTCCTTTCAAGATTCAATGTAGCTAATAATCATTTGCAGGGAGCGATTCCAACTGGCGGTCAGTTCTTCAGCTTTCCCAGCTCGAGCTTTGAGGGTAATCCTGGACTTTGTGGAAAAATTATTTCTCCTTGTACTGTCAGCAATTTGGGCGTTCGACCGGCTATTCCTTCTGCTTCTAGTAATAAGCTTGGCAAAAGTGGAATTCTTGGAATTACAATCAGCATAGGGATAGGAATTGCACTTCTTCTTGCAATAGTCCTGCTTAAAATGTCTAGAAGAGATGCCGGACACCAGATTGAGGATTTCGAGGAAGATATTAGCAGACCTTCCCGATTGTCTGATGCTTTTGGTCCTTCGAAGTTGGTACTTTTCCAGAATTCTGATTGCAAGGAACTGACTGTTGCAGACTTGCTAAAATCGACGAACAACTTCAACCAGTCAAACATTGTTGGATGTGGAGGATTTGGTCTAGTTTACAAGGCGGAACTACCAAATGGCATGAAAACTGCTATCAAGAGGCTTTCTGGGGATTGCGGGCAGATGGAACGTGAATTCCAAGCTGAAGTGGAAGCCCTCTCAAGAGCTCAGCACAAAAACCTTGTATCCCTTCAAGGGTACTGTCGGCACGGGAATGATAGGTTGCTAATATATTCTTACATGGAGAATGGAAGCTTGGACTACTGGCTACATGAAAGGGTCGATGGGAACTCATTAACATGGGATGTGAGGTTAAAGATTGCACAAGGAGCAGCTCGTGGTTTAGCCTATTTGCATAAGGAACCAAATATAGTCCATCGCGACATTAAAACCAGCAACATTCTTTTGGATGAGAGATTTGAAGCGCATTTAGCTGATTTTGGACTCTCAAGGTTGCTGCATCCCTATGATACTCATGTCACGACAGATCTGGTCGGAACCTTGGGATACATTCCTCCCGAGTATAGTCAAACATTAACTGCTACTTTTAGGGGCGATGTTTACAGCTTCGGTGTTGTTCTTCTTGAGCTTTTGACAGGCAAGCGTCCCGTGGAAGTATGCAGGGGAAAAAGTTGCAGGGATTTGGTGTCATGGATGTATCAACTGAAATCTGAGAACAGGGTGGAGGAAATATTCGATACATCGATATGGGATACAAGTTATGAGAAGCAGCTTTTGGAGGTGCTAAGTATAGCTTGTAAATGTATAGATCGTAATCCGCGGCAGAGGCCCTCGATTGATCAAGTGGTTTCATGGCTTGAGGCAATTGGAACTGGAAAAGATAGATGAAATTCATCTACTTTTTCCTTGTAGTCTTAGCTTATATTGCTTACAAAATGAAAAAGATCAATGTAAAGCAAACACAAATTCTAATTTTATAGAGTTGGTTATAAAACTGATAAATTGCTTTTTGGTTCACTTGGTTTTCCTTCTTACAATACGAAATAGTGACTGTTGTGTTTGTAGAGGAGATATGCTTTACCTGGGGCACAAGTCCTACATCCATGTTATATAATATACATATTTTTTGGGTCGAAAAGCAGTTTCACTATATATTAAAAAGGATTAGAAAAGTCAGTGCATGAGTTTGAACTTATAGGATCATTACCTTCTTCCCCTTAGTTGTGAAACTCATTTTATCTCAGGCTGGACTAATATTGACATGTGCGGTGATAGTATTTGACTTTCTGGTGGTTAGTTCCCTTCCATTTTCTGTTTTTTTGCTGGTGAGTTTTCTATAAAGTTAAAGACGTAATGGTGATTGGATTTGTTGTTTAGTGGTTACAACTGCATCTTGCATTGTTCTGATGCATCTTTAATCTCTCAGTTCCACTTTGTTTAAGACTACTTTCTTAATAGTCCGTTTTAGAAAGAAAAAAGAAGAATGACATTTCTAGTATTTTTTTTGGTGGGAAGCTTTTATACCCGCATGAATATTGTGCCACGTTTAACGCTATGAATTTCAAATATTATATAGTGACACAAATGATATGGAATATAAAAAAAGCAAGGTTTAAAAGTTTTCTTTTTATTGAACTTTGTATCAAATCAAACTACGGCAAATAAAGTGAAACAGATGGATCTTGTTTCCATCTTTAAAAAAACTTGAAAACATCCCTCCTCTCTTCCAACACAATTCACATTCATCCGTAAAATTCGTAAATTGATTTAGTAAAAGAAAAAAGAAAAACTATAGATGTCTGATAGTCTGTTTGGCCAAACCTCTCTAAAGTCAAAAGTATTTTCTTTTTCAAAAATGATTTAAAAAAAAAATTGAAGTGTTTAACCAAGAAAAAAGTGCTTTTGAGTAGGAGGAGAAACAATTTTGGAAAAACAGAAAAAATAGTCTTTTCCCAAAAACACATTTGAGAAAAAATACACTTAGAGCCCGTTTGGCCAAGTTGCCAAAAACTGCTTAATTTGAAAAATGCTTTTGCTCAAAAGTGTTTTTTAGAAAATTACTTTTGCAAAATAGTAGTTTGTTTTGCAAGCACATTGTGTTTGACCAATCTTTAAAAAAAATACATTTAAGTATCAAATTACGAAAAAGGACAGTAAAATTTTAATTTGTAATTAGTATTATTTAGAAAAGAAAAATAAATTTAAATATTTATTATATAAGAGTTCAATTAAAATATAAAACGTAAAGTAAAAATATAAATTAAAAATTCCAATCTATACAAAATATAGTTATTCCAAAATCGAGTGTTTGGTATTACTTATTGATTACATGATAATTTAAATATATCAAAATATATCATTTACTATAAATTTAAAGGAATAGGAGAAAAAGAATAAGAGTATGATTAAAATAAAAAAGAGAAGAAATGTATAATAGAAATAAAAAGAAAAAGGAAAAGGAAAATGTAAAATTAATGAGGGATAATTTGGAAAATATGAATTTATTGGAAGATTATTTTTGTCTTGAATAAATTAATTTTCTACTTTTGCTTCTGCTTCTTGAAAGAAGTTATAATTTGTAGCTTCTCCCCAAAAGCAGAAAAACTGTTTCTGCTGCTACTCAAAAGTTCTTTTTCATTTTGGACAAATACCTTACATTTTTTAAAAATTATTTTTTGACAAAAAAATTACTTTTTGCCTCCCATAAGCTTGGCCAAAAGGCTCTTAAAAGCACTTTTTAAAAACTTGCCAAACATTGGTTGCTCACTTAAAAATAATTTTTAAATTAATTAGCCAAATACACACTTCTTCTCGCTAAAAATACTTTTGAAAAAAACACTTTTGAGAAAAAACACTTTTCAAAATAAACTTATTTTAGAAGTTTGGCCAAACGAGCTATTAGTTGAGTGGAAAGGCAAGAAGCGGATGAGACTCTTCTCCATTTCCATGTCTCTTCATTTCCCCAAGTTTCTATTTGAATGGGAGCCATATGTCATAGTTAAAAATTAAAGGTTGAGATTTAATTACCAAAGTAAGGTCTTAACTATGGTTTGGATAATAAATATTTCTTTTATTTATTTTCCAAATTTTCTGGAATCCCATGATTCTAGCTAAAACCATTATCTAATCCATACATATATAATTTTTTTTAAATCTCTTTTTTCCTACTTTAAATTCCACTTGTGAAAAATTAATGGGTATGTTGTTGTTGTTGCTGTCTCTTTTTTCCTACTTTATTACGAGCTCATCTCCTTTTTTTTTAAAGCTTTTTTTTTTCTTTGTCTCAAATTCATAGTTTTTATATTTTGAGTTAATCGTTTCTTGGTTCTTTGTTGTGTTTTCTTTTTCCTTAATTTGTTCGGTACTTCTTTTCTTTTTTCTTTTTAACAACTGACAACTGACAAGTCAATGAATGGCCCGCTGGAGTTTTAACATCATACATATTTTTAATCTTTAATTTTACAAATAATTTTTTATTTTTTATTTTTTATTTTTTATTTTAATATCATATATCAATTCAATTTTGTCTGATTGTTCTCACTAAGCATTAGATCTAGCCTATTTCTCTCATCTTTGATGGGAATGTAAGAAAGAACTAAAAAAAAAAAGAACTCGTATCTGTACTAAAAGAAAAAAAATACTGTTGAAACAAACAGAAAAAGGAGAAGAAGAACTCGTTATAAAGTAAGAAATAAGTGAGTTTTTTTTTTCCAAATAGATATGAATTAGATAATGTTTTAGCTAGAATTGTGGGATTGCTAAAAAATTTTAGAATAAATAAAGAAAATATTTGTTATCATAACCATGATTAGGATTTTGATTTGGTTAATTAAATCTTAACCTTTAATTTTTAATATTGACATGTAGGTTTAATTCAAAGTAGGAACTAGAGAAAATAGAGAGAGAAAAATGGAGAGAATGTCTTATCCGCAAGAAGCATATACGAATAAATATCCTTATTTTGTGGTCAATGTCGATATTTGGTTTTCTGTTTCTTTATTATAAATAATGGTGGTTTTTGGACCAATTTGTATGCATATTTACTCCACCAAATAACTTGATACAGTTCAGAAACAAAGGCGTCGAGTAAACTTCACCCATAAGGCCGATCAAGCAAATGAACTCACACTTGAATTTCGTTGTACCTGATATTCAAACTCATATCTCTTGATTACTACAGTGTATACATCCATTTCCTGGGAAATATACTAAAAATTAAAAATTAAAAGAAGAAAAAAAGATGCAACGAGAGCAAAAGTTGATCACGCAGTAAGAGGAGTTGGAATCGCAGTTAACTCTACATGTCGAAGTTGTAAACGTTGTATGTTTCCTTTAAGGTAAATATGTCTTTTTCGCGAATAAATTCACTGAAATAATAAATCAGAATCATGGAATTAATCAAGAATACCGTAAAAATGAACTAAGATACGTATGGAAAAATGAACCGTATAGCCGCTGTAAAAATAATAGTCGAAAAAATATATAAAATTTATATATTTTTTATATATATATACATTATGTATGCGATATACAAAAATTATATAAATCTTATATATTTTTTCGACTACCAAATATAAATAGTTTCTGGCCTACCAACGCTAGCATTTCAAGCGGAGTCCGAGGAACCAAGTCACGATTTTTCAGCGAGTAATTACTACAAGTAAGAAGTAGAGAAGGAATCTAGTTCTCCATGATATTTCAAAACTCAAAGTCATAACTTACTAGAACTTTCAAGTTTCATCGGGCTTAAATCTTGAATAAGTTTACACATTATGAGTCCACTTGTACATAAATTGACTATCTTAATACACTAGAAACTTAATCCACTAAATATATTTAGTTTCTCATCGTTTTATAATATATTGTATTATATTGTATTAATTTATAAATACAATGTTTGGATAAATTGTATTATTTGTAGTTGTTAAATAATATTTTGGTGTTTGGTTTAACTGTATCGTACTGTACTGTAACTGATAAGTTTATTAAAATATCCTCAATTATTTAAATATTAGATTTTTCAATAATTACGCATAAAAATTATTTAAGAAAACCTTATTCTACTAATTTACACCAAATATGTCTTAAAAATAGATTAAGCAATTAAATTCATGCAAATTCTAACAAAATCAGCAAATTTAGGTTGGAGTTGGAAGCGGCAGAATTTCTGAAAAAAAGGGACGAAGACAAAGTAGGTTATAGGTGAGAGATTTGGAGTTAAATTTTTTTTTAGAAAAAGAATGTAAACGGTAAAATAGAATTATGGAGTAATAAGTTAGGGCATAATAGGAAAGAAAAATAGGAAATAATCTCACCCTACCAAATGGGTTGTTTCAAAAAATGGGACTTTTCATTGTTCCAGAACAATGAATTTAACAATACAATACAACCAATTTTAATGAAATAATCAAAACAAACATTGTTTTAAGATAACAATACAATACGATACAATGAGTAACAACCATCCAAACAAGATGTTAGTTCAACACGTATAAGGTTTATCCATGGTAACGTGTCACAGTCTCTCTTCGACATCTAAGCTTATTAAACTTGAGGACAGGTATGGGTGGGCATAAAATTCGAAAAATCGAATTTCGAATCAGACCGAACTAATTCGGTATTTTGGTTTCGATTTTTTCGGTATTTCGGTCTAATTCAGTATTTCAGCATTATGGTGTGGTTCTCGGTATTAGGATCTTGAAATTTCGATATATCGAAATACCGAATTTTTAAAATTTTTTTAAGTTGGACCTATAATTAGCTATACTGCTCAACGCAACACTTTTTAAAGACTTTCTAATCTAATGCCTAGCCCACTGCCCACTCCAGCGCCCCAGCCCAAGCCCACTCTCTAGTCTTTGTCTTTCATTCAATTAGAGATTAGGCATTACTCATTAGGGAATTAGCATTTAGAAAGTTAGAACTCAGAAAGTCAATTAGGGCAAACGGCGTCAGCATCTCAACGATAGTTTTATCTTCAGGCTTTCAATTAGGGCGATAGTTTCAGAAATTCAGAA